CACACACACACACACACACACACACACACACACACACACACACACACACACACAATAAAATCTCTATGAAAAAGTTTTTAATATCATAAATACTTTTTATAAAAATCAACTTAATTTTTTGCATAACTTGATTGAAATTTAAAAAAAATTCTCTTATAAAATTTGAAATGTATATATAAATAATATATAGATTAAAAATTGTAAAAAAATATATTATTGTATTATATTATTGTATATAATACATGTATACAAAAAATAAATTTAAATAACAATAAAAGAATAAATAAAAATTCGCTCGTTTTAAATATTAAGTATATATTTAAAAGTTATTCGACTAAATTATAATTTTTAACTTTAAATTAAAAAAAAAATACTAAATCTTTGTTGGTACACATATAAGATCACTAAAATATATTATAGTGCTCACATTCAAATCTTTGTCGGCATATATATAGGATTACTAGGATATATTATAGTGCTCTTCTTTTTATGAGTTTTCTTAACTTCTTAAACTTGTGACACATCGTTTGATAATGTTTTCAGCACATTAATATCCTTCATAAAAAGAAAAAGTGTATCAAACTGCTCACAAAAAAATAATGTAAAATATTTCACATCATTTGTTTTATATTTAATAAATATTCAGATCTCTATGTATATTTGCATATATCATTTATTAATATCAGCGTATCAAAGTATCATTTTTAGCAAATAAGACAAGCATAATAATGATATATAATATTCTTTTACAAAATATTATTTAGATTCTAAAAAAAAAGAGAAAAATATTGTTACAACATAATATAAAAAGGTATCTTTTCGTACGTCACGTGTGTATAAACGAACTCGTGATTCTTTTTAAAAATGTAATAATATAATATGTAATGCTATATACAAAACATTTTAGTTTAAAGAATATTATATTAATAATGAATAATTTATGAAATTAGAATTATAATAAGCAAGTTAATCTTTAAAATGATTCTTTTGCACATTGATGAATGAATTAATAGAAATATTTCTTATTTGATCTTTAAAATAAAATATAGAATACACAATAGAAGGTTTCAGACAACTTTCAGAAGATTGAAATGTTTTTGAAAGATAAGATAAGTCATATGTAGATAGTCATATGTAGATTGATCACAAATAAGATTGTACTAACTCAACGGAAAATAATTATTTAATAATTATTTAATAATTATTTAAAATAATATATAAATTACACGTAACAAATAATATTTATCATGATGCATTTTTACATTAACAAAATCAAGTTTTAGATTTTTATATTAAATGTGATACATGATAATTTAGCAGTTTTCATTCTTTCGGAGTTATAATGTTATAATTTTTGCTGGAAAAATAGTGAGAAGAAGAAAAGAAGAAAATATCGAGTATAGATACTTTATTTTTAGAAACCCACGCGAATGGATCTCTTGCGATAAAAGTTTAGAATTTTAATATCGACGGAGGCATACCGGATAAAACGTGTGCGGAAAAATTTACTGTCAGTTGTAGCTATTCAAAATAGCGGTAAAACTCTCAGTAATGCTTCTGCGGGAAATTTACAATTTGCAAGCAAAAAATAGAAACAAAAAAGTTAGGAACGGGAAAAGCATTAAAGCATTTTCATTAGCATCCGGTGATATCATAAAAATGTTAGATCTTATGACTTCTATAAGCTTTTCCTCTTTTTTATTTTTGTTACAGCTCATCGGCGAATGCGAACTGTCACTAATTACTTCTTGGTAAATCTTTCCGTCGCGGATCTTATGATGTCATTGCTCAACTGTGCTTTCAACTTTATCTTCCTCCTCAACTCTAATTGGCCCTTCGGAATGGTGTATTGCACCATCAATAACTTTGTAGCACACGTGACTGTCGCTTCTAGCGTTTTTACTCTCGTCGTAATTTCATTTGACAGGTAAGTTTTCATTAAAAAACTTTTTTACACCTTTCTTTCTCTCTCTCTCTCTCTCTCACACACACACACACACACGCGCGCGCGCGCGCTGCACGCATGCACGCACGCACGCACAATCTTTTCTCGTATCTTATTATTTCTAATATTTGTCATCTGATTATTATATTTTGTTACAAAAATACCTTTGAATTTATAGAAAAATTATATATTCATTGTATTTTTAAATTTATAATGATAAATGACTTGTTTAACTTAAAATTCTGTTTGCGACTGTCCTTTTTCTTTTTCAATAAAGAAAATATTTGATACAGAAAGTAAATTAAATATAAGTGATTATATAATTACTTAAATAGTAATCATATTTTATAAAAAGTAAATTTTATTTTAGTTATATATATAATAATTATATAAAAATAAAATATAGATATAAAATTTTGCAATATCTTATATTTTTTATAAAAATAATGTTATGTATGTTTGTGTGCTTATTATAATTCAAATTAATGGAGGCAAATAATAATTTATAATAAATACGTATCTGTTATACTTATTTTATTCTATATATTAAAATATGTAAAACTACTTACCTAATTTTTTAAAAAATTAATTTAAAAGTTAACTTAATTTTAAAGTTAAGTTAATTTAAAGTTAAATTAATTTAAAGTTAAAGTTAAGTTAATTTAAAAGTGAAGTTTTTTAAAAAATTAATTTTATTTTTCTATATTGCAATTAAGTTAGAAGTTTAATTTACTTCAGCAATTTATTTTTCATGTTTTTCATAAAACAATCGTTTTCCTGTCAGCATATCCGGGTTTACGGTTAATTCTGAAATACGTCGAGAAAATGGAGACACACAAACACTTTCATAGATTTTTTTTTAATGGTAACATGTGGTAGAAAAGCTGTCATTGCGTCGAAACGGTTGCACGAAGATGTAAAAAAAATGTTTATAGAACATCACCATTTAACTTTGATATCATTTGTGTGCAATCGATCCTGGATGCAATCGCAAAGATAATCGAATATACTAGATGCCATTTCACACGTTTATTTTGGAGAGGAAGTATGTTATAAATGTACTTTAATACATTCCAATAAATCGATCTTTTTCTCTTTTTATGTCGATATTGCTTTTTATCTTATATCGTTTTACTTCTATTATTTCATTCCTGTATTGTACATACTTTTCTTATTCAATGGAATCTAAAGCATTTATATTATATCATAAATATGTATCTATACAGGTATGATTATTTTTTTCGTGTGTAGATGATTAAATAAAACCGATATAACAAAAATTCCTCTTAAAATTTTCTCTTAAAATTTTTTTTAATTGCAATATAAATATTTTATTCATCGCTTAAGCGATTTTTATAGCGCAAAATAAAAATACTATATCCATATATGCATATCCGTAGCCACATCAAGTGGATATATGGTTTTGTTTAATGCAACTTTTAAAAGACTACAAATGGATGAATACGCATATAAATATTGTTGAACATAAATTAGTATAACATATATATATATATATATATATATATATATATATTTCTTCTTAATCAAATGCATTTTATATGAAATATATTACGTAAATAAAAGTCAATGTGTTATTTTGTAGTTAGTTTTAAATTAATGCAAAATATATCAATTATTTTTTATTAAATCTCAAGTCTCCTTTATAACAATATTTCGTATTATTTTAATATTTATGTATTATAAACTATTTTACACATTGGAAAGTCTGTTCAGATATCATTTTTTTCGGACGAGAAAAACGATAAAAAGAATTACAAAACATAAAAACATAAAAAGAATTAAATATTAATGAGATGATTCTTAGTATTAGATATGATTAGTAGTAAAAGGGCAATTGAGAATCAGCGCTGTTTACGGTGCATATTTACATTCTTTATTACAAATTAAAAAATATAACATACGTTTCGACTCTAATTTGAATCATCCTCAGTGTATACGAAAATAAAAAATAAAAAATATAAAGATAAAATACCGTGTTCCGACGTGCTCATTAACGTTAATTTCACTAACTCGAATTATGATCGTATCGTCAACCTTAAAGAGGTAGGACAGTCTTTAAGGGTTGTCAATTATATATGCATGAACACCAGAGTCATATACATAGGAACACGAACACACATTCGACACAGTCTTTTGTAAATAAAATTACTCATTTATAAAACTTAAAAAATTTTATTTCATTTTACAGTGAATTGAAATGTGTAACATGATAAACACAGACAACGCACAAATGTATGTTATATATAGCGTTTGATGATTATATATAACTTGATGCAACTAGTAATTATAAATACAGCTATGTAATAATCTTGATAAAGGTAATATTTGAGAATTATAATAATAATATATCTTACACCCTGTGTAAAGTCAAAATATAGACTTCTAGATATATTATTCTATACAATATGCAATTAGAACAATATTATTAAGTATTATTAATCAATGTCTGTGATGTGCAATGAATAGAGTTCACTTTCAATGAAATCGAGTTAATTAAAAGCACCAAGAAATTCTCATTAATAAAAACGTTTCACTGGTCCACTAATATTATCGATACACAAGTAGTAGAAACATAAAAAGATTATATATAAAAACCTATTAAACAGATGCTACAGAAATTTAATACACAAAATGTGAAATTATAATTAAATAACAAATTTAATAATATCATAAATACATAATATAGTTGAAAAAAAATCATCATTTGTCAAATAATTAATTTAATTTAAAATTTCATTATTAAAATACTTTATATCATAAATTAAGAGTTAATACAAAAATATATACTTATCTAGATTTTGTTGAAAGACAAATAATTTCTATGAATTAAAGAAAAGAAGAAAAATTTTAAAAGAGAAAAATTGTTTGCCTCTAATATTAATATATTAATATATCGTTATATTATGCGGTAATGTATGCAAAAACTATGAATATAAAACATCTGGCATATATGGATTTTTTTTATTTTCTCCTAAAGAAAGAAGCTATTTACCGCGACCCTTGAAATCGGGAGTAAAGAAAAGATAAGGTACAAATTCATGTTTGTCGGTCATTCTACTATTTTGAGCTATCGCACTTAACTCGAAAACCATAGATTGTTATTCGTTCTCTTTCAGAAAAGAAAAAGATCACTATATCACTATATCACTTTCTTTATATTAATCTTATCTAAATTCTTATTATATCAACAATAATTATATTTATTGCGTCTGAAACGTAACTGATTTTCTTTAATTTAAAGACGCATTAAAAAATAATTCTGAATATATTGGCCATAAGATATCTATTTCTTTCTTCGTAAACGTTATCTCACAAATTAGTTCAATTTCTAATTTCAAGCACAAAGAAAGCTTTCATGCGCAAATAGCTTTCATAGCTTTCATGCGCAAATTTTTCATGATATGGAAAATCTAATCTTTCTTGCAATTTATGCAGTAGTAAAAAATAATCGAAAATTTAAAAAAAAGCTTCAAATGTAAGTAAAATTTATTATAAAATATTTTAGCAATTAAAATTATTTCGTTTATATAGAGATAATAAGAAAAAGAATAAGAGAATATTTAGAAAGTTATACATGTTATATAAGTTTTAAAAATTCTAATATTCTATAAATTTAGTAAAATATTTTAAATAATGTAGAATTCTTAACTAAAAGTTTTTTGAAATCTTTTTTCAATATATTAAAGTCAAAGCATTTCATTACGTATAACTTGTCTACAAATTTTGAATCATCTAATATAATGATATAATTAAGGAAAAGGGTCAAATTATAACAAGGATATTACATTTGATTTATGAGAAACTTCTTGGAACAAAATATCAAAATTTCTCAGCATATTGAAGTTCTAAATTTAAACTGAGAATACTAATAATAAAATTTTATTTAGATATGTGTTTAAGATTCATTGTAACTTTGTTATTAAAGATTTAAAAATTTTATATGTTACACATTTAAAAATAATTATATATATGTAAATGGACTCAATGTTGTCGTAGTTGTCAGCTAATTACTTGTGGCAAGGCATAAATAATAAAAAAAGGAATTTTTTTTAATGTTCCATACTTAAATTATTTTACGGTAAATTAACTATCGTGTTGGAAACTGAGACTAAAGTTGTATGGAACTTTAATAGTAGAAATGGGTAAGGGATGAATATAATGAACGCTAATTGATGTAGGACAATCAAGACTGGCTTTTGAGGTGATTGTTATCGGGAAAATTATAGTAATTAACAATCGCTCAAATTGTCAAATAAATGAAAGTCTGAGAAAATGTACTCTAATTAGGTTAACTCAAATATGTTTATGAAAAACCGTGGTTTACTTAACCTTTTCTAGTTATTTAATTTATTCGATTTCTTATGCTTAACACAAATTTAAATATAAAAAAAAAATTATCTCAAAGTCTCTAAGTTAGAAACGTTAAAAAAATGGAATCGTGACTGAATCAATGCATGCAGATTTAGCTGAATTCAATTTGTTTTAAGATTTATTTGCATTTGGCATAAAATGTTTTAATGATATAAAATTGAACTTCATGCTGATCATTGAATTAAAATAAAATTTCATAAAGTTTGACATCATAAAGTAATTTGACAATCATTCATTATTCTTTCATAAGAAAGATAAAATTAAAATAAAATTTATAATTTCAAATTAATATATTTTAATTTTATCTTTCAATAAAAAGATAAAATAAAAATATTACTTTAAATATTAGTTTAAAATTATAAATCTTATGCACACATATCGCGACCTGTATATTACATCAAGATGACGTAAAAGGTAACATCATAAAACATCGAAACTATAATTGTAATTGGTAAATTTATTAATTCCGTAAATTTTCGTTAATGAATTTTGAATTGACGACCCATCAATTAATAATAGTTCATTAAAAATAAAAGTGATTTACTGATCAGTCAATGCCAACAGCCAATAATTCAATTTTATCAATAATTTTGTCAATAAAACTATAAAATGTTCAATTTTCGACTTGTATTTCGAAAATATTCAATTATTAATTCATATTTCGATATTTCACCTTACTGTATGTTACGCTACTCCGATTGTAAAAAATCAATACTTTTAAAGGGAAAAATACGACCGATTTTTAGTAATATATAACAATAATCTAGTCAAAATATACATCAAAGAATATTTAAAGAATTTAAAACTTGTTAGAGTTTATGTTAGAGCGGATGTTAGAATTTACAGAGCGGATAAAAATAAATTATCTTAAATGTCTCGAAACAAACAAATTCCAATGCATTTCCATGTTACGACGCTTTTTACATACTGATCGACGGAAAAGAAATCGAAGTTCGAACAGTTCTAAATAACCATGCTTCTCACGTGCTGCAGTTTACATGCATGGATTAGATCGATGATGTACCGGAAATTAGATTTTAATACTCATCAAACATTCATCAAACACTACTTTGTAGCTTTCATATCTTCGTATTACATATTCCGTTACGTTTAGTTAATCTATAGATAACTCAATAAAAGATGTGACAAAGTTAATTGTCATTCTTAATGTAGGAAATGAAGTTAACATTGAAGTTAATTATTGCAAAATAATAAAATGACAATAAATGTAAAAAATTCGTCGTCCATTCTTTAATCAGGAACATTTTTGATTTCACTCTTGTAAGAGTGAATACTATTTAGCTTTTCTCTTGTCTGATATTCAAGAAGTATTCTCTCAGTAAAAGCGACATTTCTCTTCGTAACGCAATGTACTAGTAACTCAATTATATAACTAATTATATAACTAAAAATAAAAATGATCAAATTAAGCTTTTCGAGTATTATTCTGTGCTAGAATATTTTTAATTTAGATACATATACGTAGAGTAATTCATTTAATGTTGAAAAATGTACAAATAAAATTTTATAAATGAAGATAAATAAAATGCAAATAATATTAATGTCAGTTATTTTATAGCATAAGAATTAAAACATAATTAATAATTAAATATTACAAAAAAATTTAAAAAGAATTGGCGT